GTTATCAGTAATGCTGCTGTTTGTTTAGAGAAAGGACAGTATTATGCCCGATCAAGTGTTACTCTGAATATTTTTAAAATTTTGGAAACGGGTTTCCCGGTAAGTTCCTTTCCCCCACCCCCCTTTAAAGTAGGAAGTGGGGGATGATGAGCCAAAGGGAAAAAACAATACAGTGTCATTGTTTGTTACTATTTTCCCCCTGGAAAAAAAAGGGTTTAAAGGAAAAAAATTTTGTGAAAGCACATTTCTTTTACTGGTAAATTTTTCTCTGCTCTCTTTTTCTCCTCTACCCTCCCCCCTCCCTCCCTTTTTGACCCTCACTCCCCCACCCCTCTTTTTCTTGCTTGTTTTTAAAATCTTTTCCCTTTCCCCTTTTTCCCCAACCCCCTTTCTGTAAAGATGTCCAGGTCATGTTTTCAGAATACTTTTTGTAAAAAAAATGGATTATTGTATTGACAAACTATGCAAATAAGAGATAAACAATTTTATTGTATTTTCTTTGCTTTTGTTAGTTTTAAATACTTTTTGCATAAAAATGTCACTCCTCATTTGCTTTCAAGCACTAAGACTCTACTGTTATTTGCTCTTTGAGGAATCAGGGGGATTAATTAGTTTTAAAGATGTTGGTTTTTTCATGTATCTGCAATTACTAATCGAGGGATACTTTAATTCTCCTAAAGTGTTTTAACTCCCACCTACATTAAAAATTTATTTTTAAATATAAGCTCCTGGGTTTTAAAATAAATATTTAAAAAACCTTTTTGTTTTCCCAATTTATTAAAAAAATTCTAAAAATAAATTAATTTTAAAAATCCCAAAAATTAATAAATAATTTTACAAAAATTTTTATTAAAATTTTATTTTTACTTTTTTTGGGGTAATGAAAACCATCTAATTCTTTTTAAATCAAAATCCTTTAGGGCCTCCACGTTGTGTATCAATTTTTTTGTCGAGGTGGGTTTTTTGGGGCCTTTTGGCCCCGGGGGTCCCGCAGGGGTTCCAGCACCCTTGTATGAGCAAAACCCTTTGAAGACTTCCATTGAGGTTCAGCTGAATTTTTTTCCTTAAATGGTTACAATCACTTTTTTTTTATTGGGACTTTCAGCAGCATCATGCTTCTATGCCCCTTTGGTCCTGAAGGAGAGAAAGATTTTGAACGCAAGAAGATTGTCCCCGTTATGTGCCCCTAGTGTTGCATTGTTTGTGACAAGCACAGGTATATAAAAAAGTTAAGTCAGAAATAGAATTACTTGAGAACATTTTTCATGTATGTATTATAGAAACTTTAAAACTTTTTTAAAGCACCGCAACAACGACTACTGCTAATAAAGGCAAAGTAACCATAGATGATCATTGGGGGACCAATTTTTTGGGCCCCTTTTAAGCTTGAAGTAGGGGGCCCCTTCAAGCCCATTACAGGGACTCAGAAATTTAAACAGTGTGAAATTTAAAAATTTTTTCTGGGGCCCCTTCCCCGGATTAGGGGCCCCGAAGCTTATCTTCATTAGATTCATAGTAGATCCGTCCCTGCTGTGACTTTCCCTTTATTAACAACTAGCCTTTGTTTTGTATGTCCTAATTTTATTGTTTAAAGACCCCTTTTGAGACCATTAAAGAGGCATCAATTATTATTGCCTTTAGTCCTAAGATAGGCTCAAGTTTGCCCGAAATGCTCTGCATCCAATGGGCTTTCTGAAAAGCATACTAAAAGTCGCCCCCACCCTTTTACAAACATTGTCTTGAAATAAAGATTATGATTAAGGCTTTACTGGCGAAATTTATATCAAATTGCAGTACCTTTTTTTTTTTTTTTTTATTCCATATCTCTTGTCATGTGTCCTTTTTTGATATTAGTTTATAGATACTGTAGTGTTGAAAGTTAGTGAGGCAGGGGCAGCATTTGTTTTTGGATAGTTTTATTATATTTTGCAATATTGTCTTAATTTAAAATTCATAATGCAATATATAATTTCCAAAGTATGTTCAGTTAAATTCTTCTTTAACAACCTATGCCATAGTATGCTTGCATAGAAATCAACACTGTACAACCCAGTTTTTATGTGATGCTATAACATCACTTGTCGCAAATTTTGAAGTTCATAATCAGATTTGTGAATTGGATAAGTGAAACCAGGCACTTGATGAAATGTTAATTATAGACTCAGATATTAATGAAAACGTGATGAATCTCATAGTGAGATACATACCATCATTCACAATATCACGGTCTTGCCAGAGGCACACAGATATGACAGTTTAGATATCCCTAAAAACAGTAAATATCCCAAACCCCTCCTTTTGAGTGTAGGCACTGTTCTTCCCATCTCCAGGACTCTGCGAATTCAGAAGCTGCGTGAAATAAGTAGATTTTTATTTTATTAATGACTTAGGCTAAGGCTAAATAAAGTTAACTAGAATGATTTAATTATGTATATATTTTTTTAAATAGGTTCCTTGCAAGTTTACTGGAATAAGTTAAAGGAAATGTTATAATTTCACATTAGGAATCTTGGTCAATGTGTGTGTTCTTAAAAGTCACCTGCTTCAGTGGGAGACAGATGCTGTGGTAAAAAAATTTACCCAGTCATAATATAAATTTTGGTAAAGTATATATAACTGTAAATTGTGATTTCTGTACATCATTTAACCAAACCAATCTATTGAATAATGTTTGCATTACCAGGCAGTTAAAAAAAAATCTTGCCTTGCATGGTAATATGGCATTCTTGCCATTTAGAGCAAGGAATGAGTACATAGGTACATAGCAAGTTGTTATTGTGGCATTGTTTTCATTATGTAGAGTTTAATGGTCATGACTTGAAGATCATCTACATAGACCAGTATAATAATAATAATAATAATATCTTTATTTACTACAAGTACATGTACATGGTATACAGGCCTAGCTGACATCAGTAACATACTACTATATAGAATTCCCCTTATGCTGAGCATTTCGGGCACATTAGGTCAGTGTCCCAGGATGCGACCCACACCAGTAGACTAATGCATAGGTACCCATTTTACTGATGGGGAACATAAGCAACAGGTGGAAAGAAACACGCCCAATGTTTCTACTCTGGCTGGGAATCGAACCCAGGACCTCGCCACGTGAAACAAGAGCTTTAACCCTTTGACTGTTTCAGGCCCCTTTCTGAAACTGTCATTCTATGTCGCCAAATATTCGAAAAAAAAATTATTTTTTTCTTATGAAATGATAGAGAATCTTTTCCCGATGGTAATGACACCAAAAGTTCGAAATTTGGTCGAAAACTCATGGAATTACGCTCCTGCGAAGTTAGCGGAATCGGCGACATATGTGTATCGGAGATTTTGCCGACTTTGAGCCATGTTTTCAGCCAATTTCGTTGTTCCAGTTGACCAAACTCATAGCTATTTCTTTAGAACTCCATTTTATCTATCAGCCGAGTACAAGAAACCGCCCGTTTACCAATTTGAACTACCCAATTTCGTGGTCAGAAATTGGCAATTTGGCCAGTTTCACGCAAATTAAAAAAGATGCCAATTTCAAAATAGGGTCCAGAATAAACAAGGTAGACATTCTTGGCACTAAAATAGCATATCCTCTGTTCATTAGTCACATCTCTAGGCCCCTCTTATATTATTATTGCTTTCTATTTTGATTTTTTATTCATACAAAATAATACAAAATTTACTGTTATGCAGACTAAGTGCATTATTGTAAAAATGATATAAATAATATCCGTGCACTAGTGAAAGAATATTAGACTCCCCAGTTGACATGTATTGGACGTGTGGTGTGATTTGTTTACTCCTGAACATTGGTAAAAATCGAACATTTCCGCTAATTTGAGCTCAGTTTCAAGGTCGTTTTCATCATCAAAGTAATGAAAATCATCTCTATTTCTGTAATATGTTTATCATTTTATCACCTAAGACTATGAAAACGCGAATACAACGATAAATACTATATGAAAATACACCTCAAAGTCGGCGTTTTATTCCAAAAAAACGATCGTTTTTTTTTTTGTCTCATTATGCAATGTGTGCTGCAGGATTTTTTTTATGTGGTGCACACTGACCACACAGACCCATTCTCTCACATGTGGGCCTACCAGCTTTCTCCTGCTTGATTTGAAGCCGCTAAAATTATTGAGTATATATACGTCAGAAATATTGGCTCGTAAGACGTATTTATACGTCGAAAACAGTCAACCAGCAGGTCACCAGAGCTCCCGTTTTGTCTTCGTTACTCTTGGCTTCACGGCTTTGTGTCTAATGAATAAGTGCTATTCTTTTTTTTTTTTCCATTTTGTTCTTCATTCTTTAAAGGTGAATTACAGTATTCACCTGTAAAATGGTGTTTGAGCGATCATGCATTATAGAAAATGACATAGGTTGGAAGTAGAATGCAGGTTGGAAATAAGCATAGTAGCTAATTTACATGTAGACATAGGCTCTCATAACCCCTTCCAATACCACAAAGCTCCTGCAGTTTTTGAATGGGAATCGAGTGAGGACCTCCTCATGAGCTGCGCACACGGTGAGTAGAGTATTTTTTATTTCATATAGAATTATTGCAACAGTTTATGAAACCACTTACATATTTTAGTCCCAGAGCAAACTTTGAAAACTAAGTCAATGCTGCCCTTCATATTTGATGTTTTGTATGTTTTGATTTGGAAATTTATTATTACACAGCTTTAAGTATGTTATGATTCAGAGGAAGTAAGTGTTGCTCTTGGAAATTATGTATTTGGAGTCATAACTATATAAAATAAATATTTTTTTTAACACATCGGCTTCAGTGTCACAACTTGTCTTGCTTGAATATTTGTTTCCTTCCTGTCTTCACTTGTTTTGTTGCTTTTTCCTTTATATCTTGTCTGTTTCTATTCTTTATGAGTAAAATTATTTAAAGTTTTAATTCCGTATAGTTCCCTATTCAGTATCCTTAAGATGTTCTCATACAAGGATGGCTTAATTACAATAATTGTTTTAATTTTCATTTGTGACAGACTATGGCAATGGTGACTCGAGCGACGATGATGATCCATCAGCACGTAAGAAGTCAAGCCCACACAAGTTAAGCAGTATCCCAGTACCCCCTCCCCCACCTCCTCCTGACTTTGCCCCTGATGAACCTGTATCACGGGTGCCTAATAAGCCTCGCCCTAAAAATGCTGATCAAATGTATGGTACCAGTAAGTGCTTCCTTTTAGTTCATAGTGAGCATCATTTCGGTGATATGCTTCGTGGCATACTATTTCTGTTAACAAAAAGCTTATCTCTGTCAATCTGGGAACTTTCCGTTTGTGAGAGGACGAGTTTAGTGCCTTCATGTAACTTTAATAATAAATCATGGGGATTTTAACATAGTCTGGTACTGGGTATCTTTCTCAAATATTTTAGTCACATTCCACTGTTAAACTTTAAAATGAATATCTTCTTTATTTAATGTTACATGCTGCTTTGGGTACCACATCACTTTCATAAGCAGAGCATTAACTACTTAATTCTCCAAGTGCTCTGTGATTTAACTTTGAATGTCATGTTGCTAAAATGTTTAAGAAATTTTTTTTTTTTAAATGGCAAAATAAAATGAAAGATTTTATTAAAGATAGTGTTTTTATTTTTTCTAAGTGTAAGTGTAGCAAATAAATGAGAGAAATGGTAATCTTCACTTCCCCTTATTTAATAATAGCTGTCACATTCATGAGTAATAAAGGTCACCTGGTCAATTGTTTTGTTAGTTTAAATGAGAGGTGATGCTCGTTATGTCATTAGATTTTCCTGTTACACTTCATATTTATTCTTGCAATGTAGCATTTTAGATTTATTTTAGATTTCGTAAATCTAAATTAAATGAGTAATAGAAGCGTTTAATTGGTCTACAGTAGTTGTATGGTTCCCATTACAGTACGGTATTACATATGATTTGTATTTTTCTCCAAAGTTCTGTGTATTGATGTGTATGGTAAAATTTAAAAGCTTAGCTTGAAATGTGAAATTACTTAAGGTTATTTTATCTGGTGTTAACCAGAATACTAGAAATTTTCCCATGATAATCCTGCAATGCATCTACTTTCTGCTTGTTAAGGAAAACTAAATTTGTTTTTTCCAGACGTAGTACACTGTCCAGAAGCCATTTTGATAATACATATATGTACTATTGTGCAGAATTGCCATTAGAGACAACAGTGCCCTAATGGCCAACATGTATTTAGCAAATGCAGCTCTCATGGTGGAACCAAAGCAGAGTACATTGATGTCTGTCTAATTTTAGAATGGATATTTGTGGTTTAGGTGCCTTGAATGAATTTGAAGGAAACTTGAGGCCATTAACAGTTTTCTGGATTTTTTTTCTAAATGTAATTTGATGCATAGACATGTAAAGATACATGAGAGTTAAGACTTGTAGGAATACTCACTAATACTGCATCGCTGCTGAGAGAATTTAGTAAATATCTATTATATTTTGTTGGGTAACTGGAATGTGAATATTTATATAATTAAAAAAAAAAAAAAAAAAGTTCAGAAAATTACAGCCAAACTAAATAAATTTTGTAACATTTTATTTTTCATCTTCAGCGAAATCAACGGCAGATTTAATGAATGCAGAACTAAAATTGGTGCTGGAATCCTTCCGGCGTCAGAGACCTCATCTAGACATAGTGAAAACACCCGATGTATACATTAATCAGGGGTCTACACCCAGTGAAGTTCAGTCATGGCTTAAAATGAAAGGATTCTCTAAAAGGTAATATTCTTTTAATTTTGCAATTGAGCTACAGTAAATGGTCGATCAACATGAAATTACGTTTCTGAAAGAGGCACGTAATTAAAGTGTAAAATGAACTAAAGAACGGGGGGAAAAAAAATAGGGTTACGTTTTCCGTAGCCCTAAAAATGAAATTTATTACTTGTCAAGACTCAAAAACAGGTTTATTTCTTACATTGTAATTGTTGCTTGTTAATTTAGAAATGATGAGAGGGTTGATGCAACTCTATACATGTACACACTCTTCACTTAGCGACCTACTCATTTACCAATGACTTGGACTTACGACAGGCTCTCTGACCAGTATTCATACCTAAATGATGTATATTATAGCTGATCTCCTCAATTCTGTTATTACAATATACAGTACACTACTGTATAAACATTTAGAATTATACTAAAAATGTTATAAATGGTGCAAGGGTGACATTAAAGCAATATCAAAGATGGTTGATATAAACCCACTACCATTATAATGTGCTTCTCGTTTAGTGACTAATTCATTTACCAACATGGTCTTAGGAACAGAACTCCATCGTTAAGTGAGGAGAGGCTGTACTTGTATTTTTTAAGGATGTGAGATCAACAATAGCATATATGAATTTGAAATGAGGATACTTTGACTGGATTAGAACTTTAAACAAGTGTTGAAAACATTCTTGACATTAATGTAGACAAGCTGAATGAGGTGTGATGAGGGTATAATATACTTCTGGCTTGCCATCTTGCTATTAGTAGATTATCAAAATCCAAATTTTACAGTTGTTTTCAATATTTAGTGTATCTTTACAACAGTATGATGTTTAAAACATTACATTGTTATCTTGGACTGTTAACCCTTTGTGTCGCAACCTCTGCTTGCAAACTTGCTTGCAGGGTCAAAGAATTTAAAAAAAAAATTTATTGTATGAAATGACAGAGGTAATGAAACCAAAAGTACAAAATTTGATGGAAAATTTATGGAATTATGCTCTTGCAGAGTCAGTGGTCTGTGTTATTTACACATCGGCAATTTCACCCACTTTACGCTCTATTTTTAACCAATTCCACTGTTTCAGTTGACCAAACTTGTAGCTATTTCGCTAGTATTCCTCCTACTCTATCGAATGAGTACAAGAAACTGCCCATTTACCTATTTCAACTACCCAATGAAGTGATCAGAAATTGGTAATTTGGCTAATTTCACACAATTCAACAATTGCCAATGTGAAAATAGGGTTCAGAATAAACAGTGTACACATTCCTGGCACTAAATAAGCATTTCCTCAAAAATCAAAATAAAAGTGAAAATTTTGTTTCTTTGCCAAGGTTACAATGTGTGTGTTTACTTTTCATAATTTGATTGGTACAAAGAAAGCCACTATCATGCTGAAGCATTTTGGGCAGACTTAACACCTATAAAGATATTATCTCCTTTATAGTGTGTTAATAAGGTATTAAAAGGATCACAATGGAAACAAGTCGCTGACTTTTTTCGGGTTATCCTAGGTTCTCTACACACATGCTGCTATGTATGATATGTAATTATATTTGTGTATACCTGAATAAACTTACCTACCCTAGTCACATCTACAGGCCCCTCTTATATTATGCTTCCTTTATATTTTGAATTTTTATTCACACGCAAAAAAGAAAATTTACTTGTATGCATTATTGTAATAATTGTATAAATGTCGGTGCCTAGATATGAGAGAATGGGTCTATGGGGTAAGTGAGCACCATAAAGAAAAAAATCCTGCAGCACAGTATATAATGAGAAAAAACTGCAACCATGTTTTTGGTGTAAAACAGTGACTTTGCAGTGTATTTTCACATGGTTTTATGGTTGTATTCTTGATTAAAATTTGATAGAATTGAAGATATGTTACAGAAATAGAGATGATTTTGATTAGTTTCAGGACAGAGTAGCTTGAAATTAAGCTCAAAGTAGCAGAAATGTTCGATTTTTCCCAATATTCCAGAGTACAAGAGTACACATTTGTTCAATATATGTCCAAATGGCCAATCGAATATGCCTAATGCAGTCTAATATGCTTAATGCATATTAGACTGGCCATTTGGACATGTATTGAACAAATGTGTACTCTGGAATATTGGGAAAAATCAAACATTTCTGCTACTTTGAGCTCAATTTCAAGCTACTCTGTCCTGAAACTAATCAAAATCATCTCTATTTCTGTAACATATCTTCAATTCTATTAAATTTTAATCGAGAATACAATCGTAAAACCATGTGAAAATACACTGCAAAGTCACTGTTTTACACCAAAAACATGGTCGCAGTTTTTTTTTTTCTCATTATATACTGTGTGCTGCAGGATTCTTTTTTATATGGTGCTCACTTGCCCCATAGACCCATTCTCTCATATCTAGGCCCAAATTTACCAGTCACGGCTTATCTGAGCGAGCTGAGCTCATGGCATCATACTACAGAACCAACGCTGGCTTCAAAGCTGTGATATAATGGGATCAACACTGAAAGGGTTAAGAAACAAGGTATAAAATTATTTTGGCTTTCTAGGAAATTATAAATTTTTGGTTACTTAGACATAAATTTAAGGAAAAAGGCTGTAGCTTGTAAGATATTTGCTTGGCAGTATTTTTTAGTTATGCAAATGTCATATCTTCTGCAGAATCTTGAAGCAGTTTGAGGGTGTTGATGGTGGAAAATTATTTGCTCTGGAAAAGAAAAAGCTGGAGGAATTTTGCGGTGTTGCAGAAGGTGCGCGTTTAGCATCTCAGATCACCGTTCAGCGCAACGTATCAGGGGTAAGGTTTCCTGAAGTACCGAATACTGCTGTGCAGTATAATATTTAGAAACCTGTACAGTACAGTGAACTGTCAAATAAACTTTAATGTTAGTATGAAATGAATAAATAGGATAATCTAGGTCTCGAGTTAAAATGTAATGTTTGGGTTTAAGAGAAGTGTGAAGAAATGAGGGTAATATCTAAGCATATTGGTGAATGTTTCCATTTTGAGAGAAAAGGGGTCACCCTAATTTGAGGGGAGATGACTTGTGTTAAAAAAAAGAAGTTTCAAGTGAACGTAGAAGAGAGCTAGGTGATGAAAGGTAATGTATAAGATCTTGGCAATAATAGATTATCAGATTGGAGGGAGGGATAATCAAAGAAGTAGATGTATTTTGATATTTGGGAATGGATATGTTAGCAGATGGGTCTGTGAAAGAAGAGGTAAACTATAGAATAGAATAGGAAAAGGTGGGTGGTGCATTGAGGCAACTATAGAGATAGACCTTTATACACGGAGGAAAAAAAAGAGTAATGTACCCGGATATAGTGGTTAATGACACTTATATGGGTGTGAAGCATGATTATAAATGTTTCAGTGAGTATGAGGCTTGAGGGAGCAAAAGAGGATTACTAAGAAATATAAATCTGGAGTGGAGGGATTGGGTTTGTCCCAGGAAAGGTTTGAGGGAGGGGGAAAAAGAAAGCTTAGTGCTAGGGGCCTGGACATCCAACAGACTTGGGTGAGCATGTTAGGCATGAAGGGAGGCAAGGTGATTTTTACAACTTTGTGCTGTTGGAGTGTGAGTAAGGTTTCACGTTTGAAGGGATCAAGGGAAAGTGGTTAGCCAGGCTGAAGCCTGAAGGTGGATAGTAATAGTGCCTGCACTTCTGGCACGACAGTGATTGAATAAGTAACAGTGAGTTTCTTCCTTTTTGTACACTGTACCTTGGTGGTAAATGGCTTGTTTGTTAAAAATTATACTTTATTAGAATTTAGTAACTCTATGGCAGCTGGATAATATTTTATGCTTAATCTCTCTACCACACTTTTGCTGTACATTAATCCATTAAAAAACTAATGATAGTGACTTAAAATGTAAAGTATGAGTGGTGAGCAACAGCTACCATCATGCTTGATATTATAATTGTTGCTGCTTAAAGATACAATAAGTTGAAATACAATTTAGGTAAATTCTTAGGTAATAATTCCCCATGCTCTTTATGACCATTACTGGTTAAGTGCTTCTCTCTAATTATGATGATGATGATAATTTAGGTAATTATACATGTACTGTTCATTAAAAAGAATTTGCTTGAAATGCCAATTATTTTTTAAATTATTTTTTTTCCCCCTCGGAAATATTTTACAGAAAGGTGGGTAATTTGTTTATCTATAGATGTTAATAAAAAGATGTTAAAGCAAATCCTATTATAAAGGAACTCTCATCTCAATCTATTAAAGTCTACATTATCTACTTAGCCAGCATCCCTTAATTATGATAATTTAATTTTTTAGAACTGTTAGAATCTTGTATATAGAATACTTGTGTGAAAAAATGGTTTGAAGGTGGACATGACAGTTACCTCTTGACATCCATTGCTAGTAATGAATTTTTCCACAGTATAAAACAGCACGATCTTCTGAGCTACGGCAGATCTTGGCGAGACAGAGAAATAGAGTTGACACAGAAGACAAGATACCTAAAGCAAGTCAACAAGCAAAAGAGGAGAATGATGATGACAACGAGGAGCAGCAGCAGCAGTATCCACCACAGCTGCAGAAACAGCAACCACAGAAGCAGCAAACACAACTGCAGTCACAACCTGATAAATTGGAGAAGATAGATAAAAACTTTGAGTTCTTAAATGATTATGATAAATCGGGTTATCAGACAGATTCAGGCAAGTAGACTATGGATTTATTTTTTAAATGCATGTAGAAACTTTTAAATAGCAAGTAGAATATATATACTGTAATTGTAATACGACATGTTTCCATAGTACTGTCCAATACAGAAAACAAAATTATCTTGTAAATTTTATGAACTACGTATTTATTTCAGATTTGTACACAGATTTGTGTACTCCAGTTAGCCAGGCTTAAGTCCTGGAGGTGTGAAGTGCAGTGAATGCACTCTGAAGGAGAGGTGGGGATCTTTGCAGTTTGTAGGGGCATCTGAAATGTAGCATCTGAAAAAGAAACCCCTTTGCCGTCATTCTTTGTCTTGCCAGAGGTCAAACTGCAAATATCCCTCCCTTCAGGCTGCAGGCATTGTACTCCTACTGTGCAGTGGTACAGCATTTAGGAAACATTAACTTTTCATTCTGTTCTTTATTTGATGAACAATACAACATTGTCACATTAATCTGTGTTGTAAGTGAAAGTTTGTTTTGCTTTAATGTAAATCATAATTTTATTGATTTTATTAATGAAATAATTACTCATCTCTGTATTTACAGAATCTGAAGATGAAGCTATGGATTCTAGAGGAAATCCAGGAACAAATACACTTAAAGAACAAATAAAAAAGCAACGAAAGAAAATAATTGGTCATCATTTGATGATAAGGCATCGCGCTGAGGCTCTGATTTCATTACGTTAGCTTCATATGTACAGTTACACACAAATATTTGTTTGCGTATGTAATGCACTCATACTATACACATGCATATACATATACACACAGTATAATGTAAAAAGGATCCATAAATGATTATTTTATTCTAGAGAATTTTTAATGAATGTCCAAATATAAATTTGTTTAATTACAAATGAGTAGTTTTCTATATACTGTTCAGTAAAAATACCTCTTGTTTTCTATCTATATACATATATATATATATATAATGATCCACATATACAGGGTGGCACTTGCAGACAGCTTGAATTTGTTACTGGTCTTCTGTAAACTATTTTTTTTTTTTCATTAGTGTAAGGTTTTTCATAATATACTCCCATTTTTTTAAGTGACTGTCAAAATACTTTATTCATAAAAAAAAAAAAAAATTTAAAGGGATTAGGGGTCATCAACATGTGCAAATTGGCAGATATATAAATGTAGAAAGACTGGAGAAAGCCTTGCTATTGTTTGGAATTTTTGAACTCTTGTTTGGCTTGTAAAGTTGCCAAAGTGTTACTTTGATAAAGAAAATTCTATCATGAAGAAAGGTTGTGTATTTTTATATACCTTCCTTTTACAGTGTCATTTATGTAAATGAAATGTCAAAGTTGGCTACAAGTAGGTATAAAAAGATGAATTAATTAGTTTAAGAAAAAAAATTCATTGAAGCCTGAAATTAAGATTTTCATTAAGTTGATATTAATAATAAATGTTAATGACACTGAGCTATGTTAATATTTTTACATGATTATATTGGAAATATGATAAATGGTATATGGTGGGGTTGCCAAACCACTGTAGTACAGTACTGTAAATATAGTGATAATGTACAGTAATGAAATAAAAGGAATTAAAATTCGCATGGCATGTCCATGGTTCCATCTGGTGTCTAGTATGTTTATTAAGACTGATAAATCTATGGTTTCATTTGTCTGAGGAAGACCTTTATGGGGTTAGTGCTTAGTTATGATTATTATAATCATATGAGTGATGTATAGAAGTTTATTCAAATAAATTGTAGCACTGAATGACTCTCAATGAATTTTTGTGAATACTGCAAATAATAATTCTGAAACAAGTGGCTTCCTTTCTAATAGAGCTTCATTGCAAGGTTTGAGTGCCATTTTTATTACCATACTAAGTAATATTTTGAGTCCTGAGTAATGGTTCTGTATGGACTTGATTCTGTACATTGTATATAAGTGATAATTACTGTAGTTGAATTTTACTATAATTAGGGCATTGGGTTTTCTGTACTTATAGATAGTTAATTCTCAGTAATTATCAACTGTTAGTAGTAGACACATTTTATCATTGTCATGTATCTGTATTTAATAAAAATAACTTTTCTTTATACAGTATATTATTTGTTCATTTTGGTATTCATGCATTTACTTTTATATTTTAAAGGAAGACTAGTACTTAGAAAGCTTGGAAATGTAGACCACTTTGTTAATTCAACATTTTTATGGGCATTTACTGGATAAACCATAAACCATTCCCAAAAACTTGTGAATGCTTGTTTTAATATGCTTATACTCTTCTTGCTCTGAAAAAATGCCATAAACTTAAAATTTATGCAAATGCTCCCCACCTTTGAAACCCCTCTTCCCTCTGACATTTTTGTCAGCAACAGTTTTATTACAATGGTTATGGTTTCCCTTTAGCACTCCTCATGGCCCTTACTGACTCTGCCTCTAGCATCCATTTCACCCTTGCTGGTGCCTGATCTGGCATATTACATCTGAAGCACATCCTACCCTACAGTGCTGTATGACCCTTGTGGGTTTAGCACTTATAATATGCAAATGTTAACTCTTCTCCACAAGGATTTGTAGTAAAAGGATGAATACCACTAGTGGGAGAAACGAGTGTAATAACAAAAATTACAGTAAAAGATAGTTTTCTGCTGTATCGGCAAAATTTTCTGTTGAACATTAATGGAATTACCGACTTAAAAACAGCATCGCTGTGTGACCATAGTGGGTTTAGTGCTCGGTTATGATTGTAGTAATAAAAAATGGTAAGAGTGCCTGGGCACCTGTCATGCTGACAGCTGATTTTTTGTTAAATTATCTTATTTCTAGTCAAGGATAGCCCTTGTGGCTTAGTGCTTCTTTTTTTATTATAATAATTTCTAGTCAAGGAGATTTCCTTGCTGAAGTGAACAGGCTGTTCATTGGATCTCTCTGCCCTTGAATCAAATCCCAATACTCCCTCTCCTTTTGGCTTCATTAGGGGATATTTTCCCTTATTAGTGTAGCTTGTGTTGAAAGTACTGTGGGAGTTAATTATGAACACAGTTGTAGACTATTGGCCTCACACCTTGTTGCAGCACAATAACCACTTAGGAACGAGCTAAAAGGCAGCAGAGGGAATAAATAATTGTATTTCCTTCAAAATAAATTGGTATATACAATATATGAATAGTCTATGTACAGCATTTACATCTATGTAGGTACAATCAGGCAAATGCAAACACAAGACATGGTGAGAACTGTAGTGACCAGCTGGGATGGTAAGTCTGCCAAAGCTGCTTCATGAGTGTATCACATTGCATCACAGCTTTGGTGGGCTTCCTTGTGATTGGCTGGTTGAACCAAGGTACTGACATGACATTGGGGCCCCTGCTTGTTAAACCTTTAGCACCTGGTTCAGAGCTGTATGACCCTGGTGGTTTAGTGCTTAGGTTTAATTTAGCACCTGATTTGCTGGTCAGGAGCCATGCCTATATGGGTGTGTGACATGCAGAATAAAATATAACATACCAGAGAGTTGTTGGTTCATCTGATTAAAAAAGGATCATGTTAAGTGGTGTCAGGTGACCCTCTGAGACAATAGGTGGCCACATGGCAGGGCCTCTGATGACAGAAGTATTACTAGAGGTTACCTGCAAATCCAAGAGTGGCAACTGAGTGTATGGCTAACATCTTTCTCATTTGCCTTGTCAGCAACAGCTTTCTTACACTGACTTTGATTATACTTCCCTTTGGCACTCGATGCCCTTGCTAACTGCCTTGCTGCCCTGCAGTGCTACATGTATGACCCTGGTGGGTTTAGAGCTTAGTTTTGATCATAATACAAACAAGAAATATTTACAGGTGAAGGCAAAGAACTGCAGAACTGCTTCAAAGGTCCAGTCTGTCTGGAATATGGAAGGAGGCACTGGCTAGAGAAATAGAAAATGTAGAACTTGAGCTTAAGGAATCATATAGAAACACAAGGAACTTAAAGCAATAAATGAAATTGAAAAAGAAATTCCTTTATATGAAGCAACAGAGGCTTGAGCATCCAGCATGTGTGTGTGTTTTTATTATATACACATAAATGCTATGTATTTTTTCTAAAAATGTGGTTATAATATCCCCAATCTTTTGAGTGTGAGCTACCTAGAATATATAAAAAAAAGTAATAAAAATTATTCAAGCAAATATCATGCAACAACCCGCACATAGGAGAAAGAAACTTTACGATGATGTTTTGGTTGGACTGAAACGTTGTTGTAAGGTGCGAGTTGTTTGTGTTCCAGTCATGGTATTGTGCCTTTATGTTCTTCAAGCCACTACCTCTGGCCACTTCATGTTACCACTGAGTTGCCGCAGCCGTCTCTACTAGTCTGTGAATCCTAACTACTGAGCCAGTATCATTTTTTTTCTTGTAGACAAACTAATTCCACATTAACCCGTCATGGGGCAGGTGGTGCCTTCATGCTGGTGAGAGATTATTTTTGACTTCAAGAATTGGACCTGTGCTCCATTGAATCGATCCTGAATGTCATCCATTCCTTCAGGTCTCACGGGTATCTCATGGAGAAGCGCCCTGTTCCACTTTGTGAGAATTGTAAGGTTCTAGTTTCTGTTAGCCACATTCTGTTGGGCTGTCCACTCTATCAACAACCAAGCAGAATTTACCTCCAACGTCGTCACTGCTCTACTGCCCTTACTGTACCTTCCCTTCTTGCTGATGGACCCTCCTTTAACCTAGACACATTCATTGACTTTTTGACAACAACTGATTTATTGCACAAACTCTGATGATGATGACTAGCACTCCTCACAGCCCTTTCTACCTCAATCTCTTGCTACCCTCTACCCCTTCACTATCCACTGCCCCACTGCACTCCATGCCCTAATAATCATCCCTCTCCCTCTTGCTACCCAATATCCCTGCATCCTTCCCTGCCTGGCAGTGCTGCATGACCCTTGTAGGTTTAGTGCTTCTTTTTTATTATAATAATTCCTTCAGGTGCTGCATTACCCCAATGGGTTTAGTTCTTCCCCACGAGTGTAATAAAAATTCTCGTTAATTGTATCTAAATCTGGCATACTCTGCCGCTTCTGCTGCTGCTGCTGCTGCTGCTGCTGCTAATGCTGCTGCTGCTGCTGCTGCTGCTGCTAATGCTGCTGCTAATGCTGCTGCTAATGCTGCTGCTGCTGCTGCTGTTAATGCTGCTGCTGCTAATGCTGCTGCTGCTATTGCTGCTGCTGCTAATGCTGCTGCTGGTAATGCTGCTGCTGCTAATGCTGCTGCTGCTGCTATAGCTGTATGACCCTTATGGGTTAAGCGCTTAGTTATGACTGTCATAATAATAAAATGAATAGAGGATAGGTTTGAAACTGCCCTTAACCAGCCAGCCAGTGGGTGAAGCCGTCATTGTTCCGGGAACAACTTAGTTCCATTACCGTAGTTTCTGGCACAGAACTCTCTGAGTGTGTGGAGAGTTTCCTTGGAGAGTAATTATGAGTAAGACACAAGGTAGGCACAAGGCCGCTGCGGAGAGCGGACGCGGCAAGTCACGCATATTATATATTTATAAATATAATAAGAATTTTATAGTAGTCAGCAGCGTTAAAACCTCTCTCTCTCTCCGCTACGCCGGCTTGAGAACCACGAGGGAAAACACAAGCGGACCAAAATATCACTCTAATTACGCCCATAGAGCGTATCCCGCGTCTGTGTGGGAAGTCACGAACACGGAAATAAGAGACGAATGTGAACCACTAATGATGAAGAATAAAGTAAGTTTATTTAGGCACAAGTACATTATCAGAAACAGTGTAAATTACCGAGGATTATCCAAAATAAGTCGAAGTGACTTATTTCCATTGGGGTCATTGATTTATTTCCATTGGGTCCTTGATTTATTTCCATTGGAGTCCTTGATTTATATTCATTGGGTCCTTGATTTATTTCCATTGGGGTCGTAGGTCACTGCCAGTCACTGCCAGTCACTACCAGTCACTGCCAGCCACTACCAGTCACTGCCAGTCATTACCAGTCACTTCGTCACTACCAGTCGCTGCCAGTCACTACCAGTCACTGCCAGTCACTACCAGTCACTGCCAGTCACTGCCAGTCACTACCAGTCACTGCCAGTCACTACCAGTCACTTCCAGTTACTGCCAGTCACTACCAGTCACTACCAGTCACTTCCAGTCACTATCAGTCACTACCAGTCACTGCCAGTCACTATCAGTCACTTCCAGTTACTGCCAGTCACTACCAGTCACTACCAGTCACTACCAGTCACTTCCAGTTACTGCCAGTCACTAACAGCCACTACCAGTCACTACCAGTCACTACCAGTCACTTCCAGTTACTGCCAGTCACTACCAGTCATTATCAGTCACTTCCAGTCACTACCAGTCGCTGCCAGTCACTACCAGTCACTGCCAGTCACTACCAGTCACTGCCAGTCACTGCCAGTCACTACCAGTCACTGCCAGTCACTACCAGTCACTTCCAGTTACTGCCAGTCACTACCAGTCACTACCAGTCACTTCCAGTCACTACCAGTCACTACCAGTCACTACCAGTCACTTCCAGTTACTGCCAGTCACTACCAGCCACTACCAGTCACTACCAGTCACTACCAGTCACTTCCAGTTACTGCCAGTCACTACCAGTCATTACCAGTCACTTCCAGTCACTACCAGTCGCTGCCAGTCACTACCAGTCACTGCCAGTCACTACCAGTCACTGCCAGTCACTGCCAGTCACTACCAGTCACTGCCAGTCACTACCAGTCACTTCCAGTTACTGCCAGTCACTACCAGTCACTACCAGTCACTTCCAGTCACTACCAGTCACTACCAGTCACTACCAGTCACTTCCAGTTACTGCCAGTCACTACCAGTCATTACCAGTCACTTCCAGTCACTACCAGTCACTACCAGTTACTGCCAGTCACTGCCAGTCACTGCCAATCACTGCCAGTCACTGCCAGTCACTACCAGTCACTGCCAGTCACTGCCAGTCACTACCAGTCATTACCAGTCACTTCCAGTCACTACCAGTCACTGCCAGTCACTGCCAGTCACTACCAGTCACTGCCAGTCACTGCCAGTCACTGCC